GGGAGGAGTTAAGCAACAATGTGAGTAGTCTATTTATTTCCTATGGTGGTAAGAGAAGCACAATTATTGGAGCTGCCAGAGCTGCAGGGTTGGCTTGAGGAAAAACTTCAAGATCCTTGAGGGGGAAAAAAATTAATGCTGACAAACCCCAAATGTAAAGGCATGCAGAAAGACAGGGAATGTTTGAGAAAGTGGAAAACGAGAAAAAGAGAATTCTGGTTTTGAGAATTTCCTCCAGTTGGTTAAGATGAAGCCAATCTAAAGTCAGCTGTCTGGAAGTTTGGTACAGAAAGCCTGAGTAAGATGGACACAGGAGGATTTTGAGGTTAGGGGAAGATGATGGTCAGCATTGATTGTGTGGGCGGTTTGGTTTTAGTGTCTGTGTTTATGTTTGAGGTTTTATTGCTGATGTGGCTTCATGTTTGTTCATTTCTTTCCCCCTTTCATTCCTCTACACTAGACTTAAATATGCCTCCCTTTTCTCATTTTAGTGCCTAATACAAAGTCGCATAGTACAGCGATTATTTAACATGAGTCACAACTAGTTTTAATTAGACCTGGTTGAAAAATGCAGCCACAACCATCATTCTTGTTCAGACAAGACTTTCTGTGAGTTTTCGTGGAGCTTTGCCTCTGCTGGAAGAAAAATGTCCACACGCTTTTATATCATTCTTCTGCAGTTTTATTTATCTGTAATATGATTTATATGTATTTCTTCCACTTTAACTGTCAGTGTAAATTTAGCTGAGTTTTATATACAAACATTATTGTGTAGACACAACAGGAAACGCCTAGTCCTTGCAGAGAAAATGCTAATATAAAGCATTTCTCAATACTTTGTTGCCATTTTGTAAGAGAACATTTCATCAGTCAGTAGTCAAAATAACAGAATATAGAGGCCATTTTATGGAAGTACCTAAATCATTAAAGCATTAAACTTATCAAATATATAGTTGTCCACAATGTGTGACAGGACATGGGGGTGATTTTGGACAGTTTTCAGCCCATTCCATGTTAGTGAGGTTCCAGTGGTATCAAAGTATTCATGACTCCTTTGCGATTAAAATTCTATCATCGTTGTCCCTCCTCTCTGCAGGGAGTTGGACTCAGCCATGGAGCGTCGTTTAGAGGACATGGAGAGGAGGCTGAAGGAGCATGTGGACCGTCGCCTGGACGCTCTGGAGCAGAAGCTGGAGAAGGCCCTGCTGAGTGCCCTCCCGCAGGTCGCCCTCAACCAGGGAGCCATGAGCAGCTCAGTGGGAGAAGCAGCATCCACCAGACTGTCGGAGCAGACTGCCCCGACACCAGCCATACACTGAGTTCAGCACGGCTAAAAGACTAATGTAACCTGGAAACCTTTCCTGCCCAAAGTAGACCATAGTGTCAGAGGAGAAGCTGAGTAGGACGCAGACACTAACAGAGACACAACGGTAAAAATAAAAAGGCTGAAATGGCAAAGAAAGACATAATTAGCACAGTAATCTGCTGAAACATAAAATGTGTTAAACTAAAGAAAGGCAAAGATGCAGCCTCTGTAACAGCTTGTTTATATTTGATCTCTGGGTAAATAGCAAACGAATGCAACACTGTTTGACAGCCAAAGTGAATGTCCTGGATGTAGAACTGTCTCATTAGCTTATGAACATGATGTAAGTTTGGCCTTGTTACACAAAAAAATGTGAAAATCTAAAAAAACACATCCTGCGGCTGTAATGCATTCTGGGCAAGTTTTTCCACATGAAAAAGTAGCCAGAAATACATTACCAACAAAGAGGCCATCTAAAACTAAACTGTATTTGGAAGTAAAACTGGTTACAGCACAGACAGAAAAACATACAAGCTTTAAATCATTGCAGTGATGTTATCTTATCCAGGATAGTGTTGGCAGGTTTTAACTTAATGACATGCAACACTAATTTATGGACATTAAAGTGTGCATGTAAACGCTCCAATTTGCTCTCACAGGTTTCATGACCCACATGAACAACAGTTATTTACACTATGTACTGTACCTGCACTGATGACGTTAAGTGTTTCGGTTAGTGAAGCCTTAACTGTTTGGTTCAGTTTGGTTTGACACTTATTCTGATTAAAAAAAGTTTTAATAAAGCACTGTAATTTTTTAAATAATGTACATGTTTGTAACGTAAAGATTATCTGCCAATGTAAACTATTAAAAGGACTTTTTGAGCTGTAATGTTGATGGTTTTAATAACTGTACTGACGTAAATAGCAATAAAAATATATTTATACAAATGAATGTACTCTTTTTTTTTGTGTTGCTTAATAACTGTACTGTGCTTCTTTAAACAAAGAGAAGTTCATGTGCGACAGAGATTACATGATGATTTTGTGTTGAGCAAGGAACAAAAAGAGCTCAGACACTTTAGAGGACGTGAATAAATGACGGACGACTGCAAACAAAAACAAAATTATCAGAAATAACAGTAAGGGAAATTTCAGATAACCAACTTTAACGGGAAAAACATTTTTCCACTTGGTATCTTTGGGCTCCAGTGTTGTGACAAAACCTATGACTCAGAAAAGGCTTTTAAGAATTGACAATAGTGATTTATGGATATTTCATGTGGACAATGGCTGTTAGAGGAAAATGTTCCCCAAGAGTTTCCCGAAAAGTAAAATCAACTCAGCTGATGTTTCCCGCCATGACTTCCAGTAATGTTGACTCAGAAATGGACCATCAAGGTCACTGAAAGTCTTCTAATGGGCAGAACTGCAGCAGTTAGTCATGTGCAGAAGACATCTAAAGTGGATCCTGCTGCGTGGAAGGCCGAGTTCCCAAAATACAAAAAGAAAGAGAGTAGCTGGTTCATGCCAACGTATTTATACAGTGAACCAACTGACCGCTGTGAGCTGAGTCATCAGAAACGAAAAGGGGTCACATTACATAAGAAGGACACCAAATTATAAAATGATGTGCGGATGTTATGTTAGGCATGTGGAGGACAGACACTGAGTCAGCAGCCGGGAGTTCTGGGACTCAACAAACCGGGTCAATGGTTCCACTCACATCTCAGCCAACTGGGGTCGAAGTGATGATACTGATAATCAAAGCTCTGTAAAGCGTGCGTCATTTGAGAGTACAATTTAGTTCATTTAGATTTGTGAACACAAATTATTAATTAGAGAAAAGTATTTAAGTAATTCAAAGGTAATAATAATCAGTCTTGCAGCTTTTGAACATATCATGCGATAGAGCTTCACACTTTAAGGACTTGTTATTCATGTTGACACAAAAGATAAGACTGAAAGTTAATTCTCGACCTTGGAAACAGCAGCTGTCAAAACAATCTCAAAAATAAGGCAACAAAATTGGTAATGAGATGCAGAAATGAAAAATTTGACGGACTGGTTATATTATCGTGCAAACATGGCAACCATGGAAAATATTTATTTTGCTCATAAATATGTACTGAGACATTCATTTTTGAATTCGTATGTATGTACAGTATGTACTAGAAATACATACTGAACAAATTTCCCAGTAGTCAGCAACTACACTTCTTGAGATGGAGCTGATCAGTGTTAAATTGATTTCTGTTTTGTCTTACTTAAATTTTGAAACACTCAAATCTTACTAGCAAGTTCAGCAGTGGATGCCCATTTTAGTTTAGCTCTCTGTAAGCTCTCCCCTGCTGACCCCCTGCACAGAGAACACATAACTAACGTCACTGTAATAACTGTGTCAAGTGTTACGTAACACCTTCGCTCCACTGGGCCTATAGACACACACAGGGGCCAACATATTGTGTCATGGTGTGTTAAATTCATTATTTCAGCGTGTAACATGGCACAGAGGGAGGACAAGATAAGACAGGACAAGAGAAAAGAAGAAGATGTTTTGAGAGATGATGTGAGTTCTTTCTCAGCTTGTTTTCTTGGTGTCCTTGTGAACAGAGCTCGGCTGCTGGGGTCGTGCTGGAGTTCACTTTCTGCTGTTTTTCATATACATACAGTTGCAAACACCGTTAAAGAAGACGTGTTTATTTGTATGTTACGAATTATTCTAAACTCCATTTTCAGTTTAATTTGGAGTGTCAAGATTTAAGGTTATAAGATTTTCAAAATGTGTAACAATTGATTTTTTGGGGGCCGCAAAACAAGCAGTAAAAAAATGTTGATATAGCCTACTGTACATATATGAAGTTGACATGGTGAATATGTTAACAAACATTTGCTTATTTTGCCATCCAGCAGACACAAAGCAACATTAGCATTCATTTGGAGTCGGGCCTCTGGCCTCAATCCAATATTCATAATCCTTTTGGCTCTGTTTTGGTCTCCACCAACTTTGACTAAATGATCTTGCTCTACAGCTGCTGAATGCTTCATTGTGTTCACCAGCATGTATTGACTTCGTATTCTGACATAACAGCCATTTTAGGTCATAGTCAATTGTCAACTCTGGGTTAAAGTTCAGTATCATGTACAGTAAGAGAGTATTGCTGGTGGAAGAGTCTTGCTTTGGGTTGTGTGTCAGCCTGCCTCTAGTTTTAGATGGGGGACAAAGCCTAGCTAGACCACAAAGACTGTTTGCTGTTAGTTGAAAAAATTAAGTTGAAGAAGAAAATGTAGAAGAAATGAAAACCAAATACACGATGATCAAACCTGAAAGTAGCTTCGGAAGCTCAGGGGATCCTAGAAGGCTCCATGAGGAACCCCTACCTGCAATGCATAGATCTCACTAAAGAATTGTTTGTTTGTCATTCACAAAAAATAATCTATTATTAAAATGGGAAAGTACTGCATGGACATTCAAAGCTAGTACAAAACCTGTCGTGCTTGTTAGTTCCTTTTGGAAGCAGGACTGACATTTGAACTCAACCATCATTACATTGACATTATCAATAAAGACAACACTTTTGAAAATAATTTTATTCCCTTTTTTTGAAAAATTGTCTTCAAACACATTGAGGCAAAAATACTTTAAAAAATATTCCATCAACAACATAGACATTTAAGAGGACTGCGGTAACCTGCAGTAACCGTTTTGTAGTGATAGGCGTTGTTAGTAGAATATAAAAGGTCAGTGATGATGGAAAGTAAATTGGGATTAGAGGAAATATTAAAACTAACATGAGACGTATGATGACAGGGTTGAAGCTTGAGTTCCCAGCGTTATGAAGTTGGACCTCTGAAGGTGTGTGTGAGCATAACACCTTGGAAGAGTATTACTAATAATTACAAGTTCTTAAACACAGTAGGTGTGGCCCCAGACAAACACACCCCTATTGGTTGCTAGGTTTTTCAAAGTGTTCATGATTGGTTGAAAAACACTGAGAGCCAGCTCGGGATTGGTTGACGGGTTGGGTGGTTGAGTTCTGAGAGGTCAAGGCTCAACCTCCTCGGGGACGATGGTGAGCATGACGTCCTCGTTGCCTCGCCTCACCACTGTTCGCAGCGTGTCGTCCCGCTTTATGGCAGCGCTGACATCACTGGCTGAGGTGACTTGCTCGCCATTGATGCTGATGATGACATCGCCCTCCTGCAGGCCAGCTCTGCCACCAAGAAAGAGGTGCGAAAGGTTAACAAATATCACAAACAAACCACAACATTGCATCCTAAATTATTTCTTTACAGTAACATGGCCAATGAACTGATAAATCATAACAAGATCCATTCAGTGATGTTATATTTCTGCTCATTTAAATAATTTTGCCTTTGTCGTTATCAGGATATTACGGAAGCCCTAATTTTTTTACTCCGTTTTTCTGTGATAACGGAATAATTATCTTGTGATCTCGAGGTAATGAATGTTGTTTTCCCGTGATAACGGACAGTGTTGGGCAAGTTCCTCAGAAATTGTAATACATTACTAGTTACTTATTACTCCTTGAAAAAGTAATAATATTACTTTACTTATTACTGGGTGATAAAAGTAACTAGTTACGTTACTATATTACTTTTACAATGACCCACCCCCATCCCTCACCCCGAAACAAAGCAGTCTCTCCCAACTTTATCATTTTCAGCAGCAAGGAGTGTGATTTTTGTGTTTCTTAATGCCACCGTCTGAAATAACAAAATAAAGCAAGTAATTCCCTACTTTTGAACTAAGCTACATTTTCTGCATATGTATTTATAAGAGCCATTCTTCTCATCCATTCTTCCTTCAGTTTTTCGCGCATTCATGTCAAGGATGGTGCGTTCAGGAACGCAGCGTTACTTGGATTAGTAACTGTAATAATATTACTGTTTTGGAAAAGTAATCCGTTACACTACTTAATGGGAAAAGTAATATCCCACCACAGCACTGAGACGGCTCTTGTTAAGGTCTTCAATGACATCCATTTAAACATTGACAGTGGCAGAATTTCAGTCTTAGTATTATTGGATGTCAGTGCATTCGACACGGTCGACCACAACATATTACTAGACAGACTTGAAAACTGGGTTGGACTTTCTGGCACAGTACTAAACTGGTTTGAATCCAACTTAAAGGACAGGGACTACTTTGTGTCTATAGGTAATACACAACTGAGCTAAGAAAAATGACGTGGAGTTCCCGAAGGCTCCATTGTGGGGCCTCTTTTGTTTAACATTTACATGCTTGCGCTGGCTCAGATTATGAAAAACTACAAAATATGTTACCATAATTATGCAGATGACACACAGATTTACATAACCATATCACCAGGGGACTATGATCCCATACAGCCGCTGAGTAACTGTACGGGTCAACAATTGGATGTGCCAGAATTTAGTTAAGAAGTTATTGTTTTTGGAGCCAGGGAGGAACGATTGAAGATCAGTGCTCAGCTTCAATCTGTAATGTTAAGAACCACAAATCAAGCCAGAAATCTTGGTGTAGTCATGGACTCAGACCTGAATTTGAGGAGCCACATTAAGACAATTACAAAGTCAGCCTACTATCACCTGAAGAATATATCAAGGATTACAGGACTCAGCAGGACCTGGAAAAGCTTATCCATGCATTTATCTTCAGTCGACTTGACTACTATAACAGTCCTTACAGGGCTTCCTAAGAAATCCATCAGACAGCTGCAGCTGATTCAGAACGCAGCTGCTTGAGTCCTCACAAGATCAAAAAGGAAGATCACATCACTCCAGTTCTGAGGTCTTTACATTGGCTTCCTGTATGTCAAAGAATTGATTTCAAAATCCTGCTGTTAGTTTATAAAGCACTAAATGTTTAGGGCCAAAATACATTTCTGATCTTCTACTTCATTATGAACCATCCATCTCAGGTCGTCTGGGATCAGGTCTGCTTTCTGTCCCCAGAGTCAAAACTAAACATGGAGAAGCAGCGTTTAGTTATTATGCCCCGTATTTCTGGAACAAACTCCCAGATAACTACAGGTCTGCTGAAACTGTCAGTTCTTTTAAATTAAGACTGAAGACTTCTTTTTACCACTGCCTTTAATTAAATCAAATTTAAAGATTAGATTAGTAACTTTCACTGCACTGTAACGTCGTGTTTTCTTTTTCTTTGTTTTTTGATTTTCAGTGAACACTATTTACATGGTGAGAAATGAATAGGTAATTGAGTGAAAAGATAAAGACAGTAAGATTGAACAGAGTGAAGGAAGTGGTCTTAAAGTGATTTGCAGGAACCTCTGTCCACTTGTAAATGTACAAGTGGGTCCAGAGTATAACTGGATCAAAGTGACCTGCGGACAGACATGTCCTGGTTTCTTTGTAGTGTCCTAGTTTTTTTGGGGTTTCCAGCTGATAAATTGGGTTTGCAGTGTGAAGCCTCAGACATCCAGTGGACCCAAATATTGCTATGGACCCGAGTCCAGACTAGCTAGAGAGAGTAGATACTTCTCTGTTAATTCAAAAAATAATTGTAACTCAATTATTTGCTCATCCCCTCGGCCTGTGTTTATTTTCTATTTATCTCTTTTAACCCTGATTGTACCCTACACTGTAACTTTTACTGTCCTGTTTTACCCTGTTTTTTAAAATCCTGTTTTTATTTTCTATTTCACCGTTTTCAAAATTATATTTTGTTTCTTTTTCAATTTCCCTGTGTTTCTTTTATGTTTAATGTAAAGCACTTTGAATTGCCTTGTTGTTGAAATGTCCTATACTAATAAACTTGCCTTGCCTTAATATTATTACAGTAACAACGCGTTACTGCCCAACACTGATAACGGGATAATTTTCTCGAGATAACAAAACAGCAGTTTAGCACAAGGGTCGGCAAGTACATGTCTTAATGATAATTTCACTCTGGTTTTCACTGTTAGTGGTTAGCTCAGTTGATGGAGCACAGGACTCATGATTGTAGGGTTTGTGTGTCAATCAAGACCTATTTTATTTTTTATAATCCTATTTAACAAAGTTCTTATGAAGAGACGGTTTTAACTGCTCACAATAAAGCACGTGCTGGACCGTGCTCATCAACCTGTAGACTTTCCCCATCATTCCCAGGCAGAGGAAATGATTCTCATTCAGGGGAATCCATTTAACGTTACACATTTCCTGACGGCTATTTCGGAACCTTTGAAATAGCCGTCGGGAAATGTATGATTGGATTCCCCTGAATCTCTTCATAACAACTTTGAAGAGGATGATAAAAACACACAAAAAAACCCACAATCCTTGGTTTTCAAATCCTACGCTCTACCAGCTGAGCTAGCCATGACACTGAAAACTTGTTGGAAATTATCCTAAAGAAACGCACCTGCCGGCCAACCTAAAACAAAACCTAAAAAAAAATTTAATAGAGAAATACTTTTGATTTCAAACAAAATTTCCACGTGTTCCAAAATGTGTTGATGAATTACGATGAATATGGTGTAAAGTTGGGCCATGGAACAAGCAGCAACTGATTTCTTTTTCTGAAAAGTGTCTCATGAACTACTTAATTATTTGAAGGAATAAAAGCTGCCACATGTAGACAACAACAGATAATCATGGGACACATTTGGCACTGTGTATTTGATGCAGATTTGTATCCAGAGCAGATGAATAATTTATCAAAATTTTCGTTTTTTTTAATTAAGCAAATTTTAAGCCTTGGAGGAGGTATGTACTCCCTGAGAGATTCCTAGCTGTTCAATGTTTCACAGTATTCAGTTTAAGCTTTAGTCTCTTTTTGTCCCATAAGTGCAGAGGTTCCCCTTCCAGAGCAAAGAGAAATCCAAATCTGCTCAACTATGACTGAAGCAGTTTGTCCTCCCTGCCAGAGGGAGTTGGACAGTCTGGGTGGGAAACATTCATAATTCAGCCTTCACTGCCAGCCTTCAGTCTAGTTCCAAAAAGCAAAACATCAGCTTTAAAACCAGAAGTGAACTTTCTATATCCTGCAGTCTTCACACACATGAAGTTCAAATCTAATAAATCTCCCTTCTGCAAGATCAGATCCTCATCGTGACTTCTGCCTGTGTTCCACATAAACCCACCAGACAATAAGAAAACAAACTCTACCTGCTATTTCCTCGGGTGTACCACCGCTGTTGGCAGTCAACAAGCTTTGCGTGTGGATGCCAAAAATCTTTCCAGGGACAAAATATATTCTGCAGGAGTGAAAAATGTGCCACTTGTGCCTTTGCTGGCATGAAAATCAAACTCACTCCCAATGTGGAATTACATATGCTAAGATCTTTTAACCTCTGTGTGAAAATCCAGCCTGTTTATGCAACATATTGAGCAGTGAACACCAGGTAATGTGGGAATAAGGCACTCACGCTTCAGCTGGAGTTCGGCTGATGACCTCCATGACATACGCCCCGGAGGTGACATCTGGGAAGTCTGAGTGCCTCTCCTTCAGCTCCTTAGCCAGCCTGAGGGGAGAAAAGATGAGGAAAACAGCCAAAACATGAGGTTTTGTACTAACATCAGTCTGATTTTAATTCAACTTGAAGGGATGATGCATTGTGACTCATTTTAAATTTCACCATGTTAAGTACTGCTCTGATTAATTGTGACACTCAAGCTTCAGGTTTTGAAAAGCTGCAAATTCGACAATGCAAACCAGATTTTTATGAAAAAATCTTGCTGCTGATTGGCCTGTGTAGTGAAGACATGCCTGCAATCTATAAAGTGATGGTATGCTTTGGAAAAATAGTTATTGTAACGTATAGTGAATCATTAGGCTAAAACCCACTGGTATGTTTAAAACTGTCATAAAGTAAAGCTTGTTTTGGTGTTTAGGGGCGTTTTCTATGGTAAACCCACGCTGGAGGGGCAGCTTGGGTGTTACTCTGACTTGTAGGCTGTTAACACGGCCTGTTGACTTACATTCCTATTTAAACTCGTCATTTGACTGCAGGTCACATTTTCGATACGATCTCCACCCTTGTTATGTATGAAAGTCAGGATTGTGAAACACTCTCTTCAGGTGAGATTAATCAGCCTCCCTCGTCTCAATGTTCTCAGATTATAGTGGCATTTGTTTTACGCAGCAAGACAGTCTGATCTCACAGAAATACAAAAATGTCATTTTATTATGACCACATGTATGGAAAACATGAGGACTGTATGGATATAATCAGTGTTTCATTCCAATAAAGTAACTGAAAACATGACCAATCAAAATATCTTACCCTGAACAAAATCACTAACCTTAACCACAAAAACCGAGCCAAAACAGATATTGCAGGCAGTTTCATTATTTTTATAATGAAAATACAAAATGTTTTTACAAAAAATAACGTTCAGCATAACGTTCAGCATAAAGACGTCATCAGGAACAGTAACTTACGTTGAAGTGAGACTCATCATTCTAACGCCGATGTATTTCTTCTTCTGGAATGTTTTACCTGGAGAACATAAGGAAATGTGTTATTTGTATAGTTGCCTTACAGTATTTTATAAATAAAACTGTGACATAAGTCTACGTAAAGTACAGAAAAAAATCTTCCATAAAGGCAGCTATGCCTTCTGGATAAATGAGTGACTTAAAATAAACATTAATTTCTCTGACATGGAAGCCAATCATAAACTCATCTCCTGTATAATAAAATACTGTGGACAGACTCTGCCTGCTGTGAACATCTGATACTGAAAACTTTTTCTGTGCTCACAAGGTGGCCCAGGAGGAGGAAATTCAATTTAATACTCATGTCTCAAATTTACAATTTAACTAGCTCATTTTACTTCGCACACTTCCCTTACTGTTAACTTTGAGATAGGTTATATTATTGTTTTTTATTTCCATGTCAGGTCAAATATGTGGCGCATCCCATGTGGAATTAAAAGACTCATCAGTGCAAAACATTGAACAAGCTGTACACCAAATAGTAAAAGAGGAAAGAACAAAATGCCACAAGCCCTGAGGTGTATCCTTAAAAAGGGATTTTCCTCATCTCACATGCTCACTTGCATGTAACTGGCTAACTTAAATTATTATTATTATTTAGGGGTTGTACCAGAACAGGTTTAAATGGTTATATTTTGAAAAAAACATCATATTTTTTCCCTGTGTTGAAGGCTTTGTTTTAGCTATGGAGTGATACATCTTGTCTCTAAATGATCTTTGTGGGAGTTGCACATCAGCAGTTCCTAGTTAAGGACTACTAGCCAATCAGAAGCAGAGAAGGGCGAGCCCTTAGAAGCCGGTCAACATGGCTTTGGTTCAGCTGTATATCCCCTTACCAGCTTAGCAACATGGACTGGAGCAAGAGTTTCAGAGTGGTGAGTTATTAATCTGTAACAAAAGTATTTTGTTACTGTGTGCCGCTGCTCAGTGTGTTTTTGAGGGCGTGTCGAAGTAGCTGTTAGGCGCGCAAATTTTGCTGTGATGTCACAAGGATGAAAAGGTAAAGGCTGGACTAAAACAAGCTGTTTTCAGGCAGTTCAAAGAAGAGTTTTCTGTGGGAGATGGGAACTCCCTTTGGGCTGGACTTTGGGCTTTTTCACTTTGCAAATGTCTTACATGCACAAAAAAGGTTTAACTGTTTTATGTAAACAGCAAACTCAGTCTGTATGCATCATCCATGTTTACAAAATACATTTCTGTTTCTATCCTACTGCATTAGATCACTGAGTTAAGACATAAAGCTCATTTCCTGTTTATGAGGGTTAAGATTATAGGCTGTATAAAATATAAAGATTAAGAAATATGCCCTTCATTGCATGTTGTCCTCCTCACCTCTTTGGCCCTGTCTCTGCTTCTGATACCGACTCTGTGATAAAATAGCAGCAAATCAAAAATGAAAGTGCTACGAACCTTTGGCCTGTCTGTCGTGTGACTCTGCCAGGAATTGTCTGATCTTGTCTGAGGGAATGGCGAAGGAGATTCCCGCTGTGACCTTCAGAGTGTTGATGCCAATCACCTCTCCATCCTGCGGGACACACACACAAACACACATTAATTTGCCATCATTCCTCAAATGCCCCACAGAAAAAGTCAAATTTCCTCATGGAGCTTGTTAAACAGCGTTTCTGACGCCTCATTGTCCTTCGTAGTAACATTGCCAGCTGAAAACAAATCAGAGTCAACTGTGGACCACTGCTATTTGCCAAGCGTGACCTAAACTCTTTATTTTATTTTCCTAATAAGGACTTCATGAGCCTTGGTGTTTGTTTATATGAGATTACGTATCTCTGTTTCGCAACATGGATGTTGCCCCAGTAATAAGAAACTGTGTTTCTGTCCCTGTTTCAAAGAGGTGATTACAATTAAATTAACTTTAATCACAGGGTGAGACAAACGACGCGTGCACTGGTTACATTCAATTTCACCACCCTATTATCATATTCAACATCTTGGTAAGACCAAAAAACAAGCACTTCTACATGTTTCTAAATGTTTTCATGGGATTTTCACTACCTGGAGTCTATGATGCAAAAAAAGGTTAAAACCACATTTTAAAGTAATTTAGTCCTTAGAAACATGCTATGTTTAATTAATCAGGTTAGAACTAATGTTAGTAGCTGGTTAAATTAGAAAATTGCATGTACTGTAGAAATGAAACCTTGAAGTAAAAGAAAACACTACTGGTAGCAGACCTGCCTGACATATGTAGTATGGAATATGTGAAAACAAATGTTTTATTGGAAACACTTAATACGTAAGGAGAACGTGACTATATAGGCTAAGGGCAAATCATTTGTAAAACAACTGCCTGCATACAAGATGTGTAATGCATTTCAAACAGGGGCCCAGCTTGTGTATTGTTTCTCCACTAGCAGGTTTTCCCTCACTTACCAGATTGACTAGTGGTCCTCCGGAGTTGCCATACTGCCAGAAAACAAATAAACAAACAAAGAATGTAAATGCAAAGAAAATAGTACATTTCTATTGAATAATCACATCAATTTTGAGCAAATAATTCCTGAATGGATCCTGTCATGTTCAGTTTTTCAGACATTTGTGAGCCATATTGCTGAATCTCATCTCCACACAGTAGGCTATTGTCCCAACCTTCCCACCTCAGGGTGTGTTTGTCTTAGTCTCTTCGCTCACATTAATGATGGCGTCTGTCTGGATGTAGTCCATGTCAGAGTTGCGGAGGCCCAGCTCCTTGCCTCCCCTCTGGGTGGTGCTGACTATGCCGGTGGTGACGGTGTTCTGCAGGGAGAACGGGCTTCCTATGGCGACCACGAATTCGCCAGGACGCAGGTCCGCCGACCGGCCGAGCAGCAACACCGGCACTTCATCTGCTCCGAACACATGGCAGGGAAACAGAGAAGGAACATGATCATGAAGAAAGGATGCAGTTCGAGACACAACCACCGCATTATATGTGTTGTTGTCTTCAAATGTTGTTCGAGGTAGTGGCCAAAATGGAAAAGACTGTATTAAACATCCTCCAAACTCTTTAAATGCTGAATATCATGTTGTGTTTTTCATCTAAATTTGGTGGAAAAGACAGAATCAAAGGAACACAGACGATGAACCAAATTGAAGGAACACCAGCACAGTCACTGGACAGTTGCCAGAACACACACACACACACACACACACACACACACACACACACACACACACACACGAGTAAACAGCAGTTTATTCTCTCTATGCTGTTGGAGGCAGACGTGGATTTCCTGTGGAGAGCTGAGTCAGCTCGCAGCCTGGACGAAGCTTCTCTCCATCCACAACCCAAACTCTAAACTGTAAAACATCATCAGTGACGGCTCATTTCAGCCCTGCAGGTTGTGTGTGTCCTCCAAAATCACATGTGGTTCACCTGGTTCATTCCTTACAAGTGTTTTCACTAAAAACAAAATAAGTAGGATGTTACACAGTGTAAATTGTTTAATGCTTATAAACCCACTTAAATAACTTGAGGTCTGAACTGTAAGCCAGTAAAATCTGACTGGGTTTTCTTTGTCAGATGAACTTTAAAAACGCCATATATACATCATCATACGTCATCATATAACCATTACTAAACATGGCTGAAAGGCAACTTGTTATTCTCTGTCATCTGAGAGTTTCAGACCTCTTCCTCAGTAAGATTATTGAAAAAGTCAGAAATGAGATGTGGCTAAAACATGCTAGCTTTGGTTGCTTAAAATTAAAGTCCTGGTTAATTTGGGGACAACTGTGGTTACTGGCAGCACATTTTAATGATCATCTGTTCATAATGTCACGTGTATCGACCGCTGGGGCAGCAAACTCGCGCTGAGTAGCTACTCTATCAGACACACAACCAAAGAAGAGCAACCAACCAGAGAATTTAGACCTCAGCCAAACAAATTGGGCTGTGATGATTCATTGTCTCACACTGTTCTTAATAAGGAAGACTAAAGAAACAGTCAACAGTGTCATCTGACATTGTTTCCCGTGAAAGTCCTGAATTTTTCAGACAAAACTACTATATAGAGACGCAGTCATAGAATACAAATACATTGATTAAAAATACCGACCACAATTAGTATCAAAATTTGATTTGATCAAATGCAAATCTCACAACTATAACTTTAAACGCAGGCGGTCGGGGACTCGACCATGAAAAGCACTGTCCCTGTGTGGAGTCTGAGACCTTTGTTACACGTCATTCCTCATCTCTCTCCTCCTCCTCATTTTCTGTCATTTCACTCATAGCCACACAGAAATCCTTCCAAGAAACATTTTAATAAAAGCAGGATGCTGTCCATTTTCTATTCCCAATTTTAGTTTTCTCATATTTTTCCATCATATCAACCAGTTCTTACCACCATGTGGTCAGTTGGCAGTTTTCCACAGTTTTATGCTGCCCTGGCTGTTGCTTTAGCTGCTTTCTGCCAGCCTGTCTACATGTAAATGTGTAAAAAAGACTAACATATGTTGCCAAAGAAATTAATCACACCCATGTCATTACAGCAAGAGTGTGATGTGATTTTGATGTACGAACAAATTGCTAAGATGGAAGGAGATCCAGAACAAGTCTAGCTGGATCAGTTTGTGAACAGATTTTTATTCGTACTGTTGTTTGTGTGGCAGCAGCTCTCAGCTCTGCCTGCATCTCTGACTAACTAGCTCGCAATTTTCAGCTTTTCCATCCCCTTCAATGCAGTTTCCAGTCCTGTCATATAAAAGATGCGTGTGCCTGATCGCTATTGCAAACACACTCACACACAGTTTATTTTGCTATTAAATGTGAAGCCCAGTTAAGACTTTTGTTTGTAATAACCTATTAAAATAGACTGTAATAGAATTACAGTGTCACTAATGTACACTAACCTCTCTCTCTCCACTTTATTAAACCAGGAAACCTCAAGAGTGCAGAGTGCCACTTCTTTCAGCCAAACCCTAGTCAAAATGATTTTTCATTAATTTAATTAAGTAACTGTTTTGGTTAGATATTTTTTGTATTTCTGTTTTACTGCTTAGTCAGGAATGTTTGATGTTAAAGTGTTAAGTTTACTGTTACAGAGAAATACATGAACTGAAGTCAAATTTTCAGGGACTTTTATATTTTTTAAACACTGAAATGAAGAAAAATGGTCAGATTATCAAATATGATTTGTAAAACTGAAAAAAGTTTTACAAATCACATTTGTTGAAAAAGATTTTATCATAATAGTTTTGAATGTTGGATGTTTAGTGATCCGAAGTTTGGCATCAAGTATTTGTCCCGTTCTGACCATAAAGAAAAGTTTAACCACATAATCAACCATCTGGTTTCTTCACCTTTCACTCAGGAGCAAAAACCAGCTTTTAAACTTTGTTCTCTTCTGCTTCTGACCGATTGGCCCCAACATACACCCAGACACCCCAGTAAGATGTCTAGTTTCTTAAAATAACACTTAGTTTCTACTGTACTAGTGTGTGCGATTACATGGGTTCTGTCAACAGTTCAGACTCTCACTTATAAATGTGGTCTAAGGGGGAAAAGCTCTTCGCAGTCCAAGTCTAGCTCTTTTAACAAATCCATGATCTTAAGGCACTCGGGCTCCAGCCCTCAGCCATGGTGTTTGCAGACTGGCCGACCTTCTGTGAACTGTGTGCTGGCCTGCTGCACGTCGTCCTACTAACCTACTTCAGCCCCAGATGTGAAGTGGAGCAGAAAAACTGAGACATAAAGCAGCCGTGATGTTAAAACCCAGCTTTCATCAACTCTCCGCCGACCATGACAAGCGTCTGTTTGTCTGTCAACGTGTGCGTGTGTGCATCTTGTTTCCTCGGTGATGAAAGACACATCTGTTGCCCATTTCCTCAGTTAAGTAACAAGCCTGAAGACTCTGACCCACTTTTAGTAGGGTTGAATAAGCAAGAGAGAGAGAGGGGTAGAAACATAAGTGTCAAGAGAGAAAGGCAGAACAAGGTTAGAAGGGGAGTAAGGAAGGAGTGAATGGCACATGAAGTGAAGCAGAGAAAGAGGCACGCGGAGAGAAACACACAAAGAGGCAGATGTGAAAGATGTGAATGTGTTTTACATCGCAGGGCAGCTGTGATGTGAAGAAGACATTTTCAGACCAATCTGTCTCTCTGTCTCTACGTTTGATTGACATGCAGAAAAAGCACGTCTAAAGACCACAGGTATGCTCAACATATATGAACAACACCTGTGAAGTTGTGCATTAGTGTGTGTGTGTGTGTGTGTGTTCATTGCAGCCTCATTGAATCTCGCTCATGTGCTTTCTTCACTGTTTTGTTAACACTTCCACATGCAGACAATGAAATAGGGTTTGAAATGTTCAATAAAGTTCAATATGATGTCAATATTATCAACTTCCCCTAGACGATCATTAATAATAATGTACACTTTTTACACAAAAAGCTGGAATGTTCATGTTGCTACTTAACTTAATGACAAATGACATGAAGCTCTTTACAGGAGACTACTGGAAAAATCTGGTTAGTTAATTATGAATACATTTTTTTGTGTTATTGTTATAATTTATTTAACTCTTGTTGGGCATCTGTAGCTCAGAGGCAGTTTTTGCTCAAATAAACCACCGGCTTGCTTGCAAGTCAAGGAACTTGAAAACAAAGTTTAAAAATTAGCTCACAGATAGATTGATAGAATACTTATATAATGAATCCCAATGAGGTCAATCCCACCGCACCATCCCGTACATGCACACAAACTAACTGCCTCCTAAATCACCATCAAGCATATACAGACATAAACAAGGTGGCTTTGAAGCTCTCTGTTCTGTACTGAACCACAACCACAAGTGAAGTCATCTGAAGACACCGTCTAACACACAGCATGCTGAGCTCCGCCCACCAGGAAAATGACCATGTTTCTCGCTCTGTGGTTTTCAGGATGACAGCACTTTGTCCAGGATGAGATTACAAAGCTGAGGGGCAGAGTTCCATAGTAATTTCAGAGTTTGCTCTGAAACACTGCTCTGCCGACCACAACAAGGGACAGAGCAGTAGTTTTGATCATTCCTCCTGTCGTCTTCTCTCATCGTTCTCTCTCTCTGCTTCATCTGCCTTCATTCTGTTTATCATTTCTTAAATGTAGTGAAAAAAGATTTGAGGGTTTTCCATCATGCATAAAAAAGTACAGTTAGCATGTTACAGGGTCAGTTAATCCAAATCACCAACTCACTTTACTGTGTCAGCAATGTCTTTAACTTGTTTCCAGATACATAGGGAGCTATTTTCTGGGGAAAAGATCCAACAAACCCACAGTACTACCTGCTCAACCCCAAACAGGCAGTGAATAAATTGGAGCATTTAGCAGCTAACGGGCTAGATATTTCGGTGGATAGTTGGTGGTTAAAATTCATTATTTTTGTGTATTTTTCCACATTTGTTTCATGATAATTTTATTTCATTTAATCCAGAATCTGAGAGCAGAAACTTACACGCTGTCCTTGCATTGATTGTGCCAAACCCCACCTGATTAGCGATAGGCCTCTTTCACCGCAGACACTTTGAAAGGAAAGCACAGGTGTTAATCACACAATTATGACTGAATTCCATTTGTTATCAGTATTAGGGTCCTGGTATACTGAATGCTGTCACACTGTCCTGGCTTACTGGTACACTTGAATAGAACGGAGCCATTGTTAATGTTATTAGTAACACCTGTGCTTTTCCTACGATGACAGGTCAAAATGTCCGCTGTGAAAAAGGTGTATTGTACAGATCCAATGTATCAATATACTGACACTTGATGGAGCTGCAAAATGTTCCTCTCTTTCTTGCTTCTTTCACCCTGCAGAACCAGAGCAGTGATATGATAACTCTCTGAGAATTTGCAGAAGGGATAAAAGCTGGGAATTAAAAAATAAAAACAGCACAGACAATGTACTCTCTGTGCAAACTATTACTCACAGCAAACTACAATTATTAACAAACACTTAAGATGATCTCTCTCTCTCTTTGAAAGACCATAATTGCTGCATCTCTCCAGCTGATTTTATGCAGCCTACTTCAAGCAGCAGTAGTTCTACCAGTATGGATCAGATTCTGCCGTTGGCCTTCAGATGTCCTAGCCTGTTCAATCCTATGAGCTGATCAGATCAGCTGGGAGCAGTTTCCATAAGCTGCTCATGGATACGTGTCATGGAAAATGATCGATGCTGGCTCAACGTGGAATATGGCCGTAAGGCTTCACTGGATGAGTCAAGACTCAAAACAACACCAACGAGCTCCTGTCTGCACATGCTCAGAGGAAACCTGCCTCAGTAGCAACCGTACAGGCTAACACTGGTGTCTGAAACACACTTGTTTTATAATTTATACTAAAAAATATGATTCTGTTCAGGGGGATATAGCAAATATTCTTTAAGTCAATAAGTTGCTGTAATCAAAACATCCTTTTCAGTTTCTGTTCATTTCACTAAGCTGAAATTTTCTCAACTCTGGATTCTTCTCCATCTCACTCTGATATTTTCTGAATGGTGTCACTCTAATCTCTGTTTCTATAGCACGTTGTTTCATTGGACTGAAACAACCACTCAGAGCCCTAACTGGCTACCTGGTGCTCCTTAGCCAAAGAATAACCAATGACTGACTGTCATCTTAGCTGGTCTTAAAGACCCTGCACACCCACCCAGGTGTTTCCACACATTCTCACTCCCACTCCTCACATATGGACGCTTGGTCATGACCCCTTGGTGTCACTTTTTAACGCCCAGGATACCCTTTAGCATCGTTCTTTTCTTTTCAAGTTAATGACAATACATAACGTCCGGTTAGACTTTCAAAATAAAAGAATGTGTTAACGTACAACACCTACCTGTAGCGTTCAAATGTGACGCTACAGGGCTTCCCCCAGTGCGTTGAACTATGACGCTTAGGGGCTTTGCAGTGGGTTATGAAGATACAATTACTCCTACCTACTGTCTGGCAGAGACGGCTCTGTCATAATCCTTTCACTATTTTTAATCTAAAGATGCCATGAGGACAGTTTGGGTTATGTCGAGATGACAATCATTATTCCAAGGCAACAAAAGAGAAATCGTAGTATCTGCAGTGACACGATAAAAAATGAGAGTATGTGAGAATGAAGGCCCACTCTGTCTTTCTACTCTGCTTTCATAAAACCTCCTCTGATAGGAGCAGAAGCTTATCAGCGCATAACACGCAGCTACACGTCTGACTGCTTCATCTGCAATACTTTACTGCTGCAATTACACCTAAAAGCCGTTTAACACTGACCTGCACTTTGTACACACAGGGAGATGTGCGCTACTCAGACTGTGTAGTTTTATTGGACAGTCACCGGCATCAAAGTCTCACTTCCTTTTCGTGTGATTTATGACAATGACTTAACTGTTAGAATCATTATCTCATCCCTTTTCACAAACATTGTTTGTCAGAGAAAACAAAGACAAACGCAAACAATATTACACTAAAACTGAATGAAACTTCCCCCCAAAAGTACCAGGGACCTTTTCAGACAAGATGGAATCAGAACTACAAAAATCAGACAGTCGAGACGAACTTTCAAGTCAGAGAATATGACCCCGAGTGCAAGCTGCTGAAAATATGTGCATGTATTGGGATGGATGTGGGGGAGGGTGGGCGTTTGCGCAGAAGTACAGTTGCCTCTTGGTTTTTGTGTGCATGTAAACTGCAACCACAAGTGCTGAGCAGTTTGTGTATTTCTGCACAATTTCATCCCCTGAAGCTCCAGTTACACCCTACTGCCCGGCCCAAACATGCAGATGAAAACCATGATCGTCTCTGTCTGACATGAACTCACATCCTGCAGTGTCAGTGTCTCTGTGTGTATGTGTATCTAATTACAGAAGTTTGTTTCGAAAAGTATCTCTAAATAGTGGAGTATGAGATAATGGAAAATTCAGTTGTGATGAACACGCTTTTTTGCCATATATGAATATCTGAAAACTGTGTTTTATCTAGACTCAACCACAGCGTTTTTACATTAAGTGAGTGCAATTATGTTTAAAAAACAGCTGTTCAACAGATGACATTTTTTTTATTCTTCGTGTTTCTGTCAAAATCAGGCCTGCCTGGATTACAATAAAGTAATTCCATTACAGCACCTCTGTTACACAAACGGAAGATACAAGAAACATCGGTTTCAATTAACATAATCATGCTTGTGGTGATGTTTCTATTCTTTTGCGTCTTTGTGTGACTCTGTGGATCCATCAACCCCCAAAAACGTGGTTACTGCTGATGGCAGTTCCAGATGGTAGATGTTTGTGGCATTAGCAGGTCTGTACCTGCCCTCCTGACGGACTGGAGGGGGTAAAGATACAGTTGAGTGTCATTCCTACTTTGACTTAAAAAATTACATTGGCATACCATGTTGTATATTTCTTGAGTTTTCTGTATTATAATGTTCAAAAATGGTGTTAAAAGTTTTATTTGTGTCACAGTAATATTGAAAAGGGTAATTTAATGTCTTTTAAAAGCTCTTAAAGTTTATCAAATCCTGTGTTTTTAATATGGTGAAAACCGAATCCAGATCAGAGTTGCACAATGCATCTAGCCTGCTTTCATAAGCACAGCTGGACTTCATTTCCCTTAATTTATTACCTGTTTTCTCTTACTCAGCCCATTTCTAGATTCACAACTTTAGCTCCAGTCACAAACAGGCTGCTTTTGAATGCTTTAGTTCTTCTGTTTGGTTGTTAAACTTGGAGGGAGTGGATTAGACAGTCTATAAAGAATGTCAAACTCCTCAAGGTACATTTTAACACAACTTGGAGAGACCACTTTGTTCTGATGGGTGAATCAGGCATTAACTTTTAAAAATTTCTAACCATAAAACTGAATATTCCGCTCTAAGTGTCTGACCTTGTGCAGGATGTTGCAGCTCTGTCTGCCCGGTGTCTGCACAGAAAGGAGACTCAAACTAAAAATGTTTTTCCATTGCACAAATTTTGTGGAAAACCTCCTTCCTGAACTGAACCCCGGCCAGTCCAGTCCAGTCATCCCTGGACCGAAACAAAGTGCTAAGAGAAAATGAAAAGACAAATTAACCCACATGCAAAAGTTCCCTCTGTATCCTGACCTCCTCCACAGATATCCACTTTCATGAGTCATGATATTATTTTGCTGAGGCGCCTCGCCTCAAATACCCTCTGAGCTAAAATTAAAACCAGGCTTTCCGTTTAGGGGGAAAATATATTTTCCAAAAAGGAATAAATACCTGATTTTGTTTTGGAAAATAAAAAAGAGGGAGGAAAAGAGAGAAGCAGAGAGGGAGAGAAAAAAACAAGTCTGTCTGAGAGGAGATTTTAAAAAGAAGAGAGGAGGCATGAAAGGACACAAAGAGAAGAAGTTTCTCGAGAGCTGCATCTTAAAACAGAACCACCCAGAGAGAAAGAAGGCCTTATTTTTTCCGTCTTGATTAAGATGCTTCAAGTGTTGTCTCAGATTTTTGGATGACACATGAATGAGCAGATAAATTATATCGTACACAAGTATGATTTATCATTCCCACTGACTTTAAAATAATTTCCCCACAGCTACAAAACCATCTGCGGACTTTAAAGAAGCAAAGATAATGTTACGGGGAAATGTGGTGTGACCACAGGACTTCAGCATTATAGAAGGAGAGGTTGAGACCGTAATACAGATTTCAAAATTTCAAGGTAATTTGGTGGTCAGATTGAAGGGAAGACAAAAATAAGAGTACGGACAAGAGCCATCTCATCCATTCATCTCTCCATCCCTCTCTCGCTGCTCACCGGTGCATCGATCTTGATCAGAGCGATGTCGGCCTTCTCATCCACGTCTTTGATCTTGGCGTCGAATGTGGCTCCGCTCTTCAGCTCCACCTTGAGGAAACAAAATCATAAAGTGGGCATAACAATAAATTACAATAATTAACCAACACAAGTTATTACAAAAACATTATGTGAGTATGTTTCCGCAACACTATCTCTACATCCCTGCACCCGCTTTGCGTACCTTTACTCGTTGCTTGTTAGCCACCACGTGGGCGTTGGTGACAATGAGTCCGTCCTCTGACACAACAAACCCTGAGCCGCTGGCTACTGCCACCTCCCGCTTAGAAAATATCATCCTGAGCAGAAAGAGGAGGAGACGGGAACCTCAAACAACAACAAGAGGACACCAGTCCAGCTCAATCACATACATTGATGTTCACAAAAAAAGTACTTTCTTTCATTTAACTACGGGTGTACTTTAATAGGTTTAACTAAGAGGTACCAAGTGATCATTCACTGTAAACATGGACAAACAAAGAGTACACAGCCACCATATCTCCTACCTTGCAAGCAGAACTACAGAAGTCATCAATTCTGGCAGTTACATCAAAACAAAACCCAGTCATCTGCTACAAGTATGTAACACGAATTTGAGTTCCTTAAACCCCAATACCATCACATTGGAACCTTTCAAGGAAGACTGGCAGCTTGTTTAGTTGTGCAGGTTCAGGTGGTTTTTCTTACTTGCGGTACAGTTCAATATGAACAACAGCAGGTGCGATCTTCTCCACCACGTCAGCGATGAAGTTGTACTTGTAACGAAGACTGTCAGGGTTCTGCTGACCTGAAGGGGGGAAAACACAACATCAATGAACTGCATCACACACACACACACACACACACACACACACACACACACACACACACACACACACACACACACCATAGTGGCTATAGTTGAATGGATTTTAGTCAATAGCAGCACAGTTACTGGGACTCTACGACGTGTAGGAAGGGTTCATGTTAATCTGTTAATCAAGCAGACAACTGTCAGTCAGTGTCCTGAGTTTTATCTGAAGCATGACGACTGCATGTGGTGCAGGGTGGTGTGATTGGATCTAAACTGTAACTGCTGTGTTTAACCAAATCCAGATGTGGAGTGCAGTATATGAACAGTAGGTTCTGTCTGCTGGCTCCACTGATGCTTATAAAACAAAGGAAATGACTCAAAAGCCTCTAAAGATGTGGAGAGATGGGGGGATACTAGGATGTTTTTTGAATAAATCGTAACAGTCCATGTGTAACCGTTGCTGTCACCTTACATAACCCCAGTTTGGTTTCACTCCAGGGGTGCTGCAACATCTGTCACTGCTAAGGATCTTTCTTTTCTCATTTCACAGGTCGTTTGTAAGTCGCCCCCCCCCACCTCCCACTCCAACCTGCTGGGACCGTGAAACACTCTCCCCCATACATCTGTGTGTTTTGGGGTCGAAAACATGTTTTCTCAAAGAGTGACATAAACGCAACACATGGGCCGAGACATTAAGACATTACGCAACATTAAACAAAGTGATGTTTGTTTACGACGGGTGTGAATATACTACAAGTTAATAGGAATACGTGGACTAACGTCTATTTTTACAGTCTTTATTTTCAGCACAAAGACTTGTTTTTGATTTTGATCAACATCTAAATAAGAAACGTGTGTGCTTGTGTGACAGTGTTTTTAACATCTGGACAAGGTTAAGTATAACTACGCTTATTTATAATTATTTGTAATTATAATGATTTTTCCATTTAATCTTTCCGCCATACATCAAATGAACCATCACAATCACTATGCTTACTTCATGGACAGTTTGGAAAATGGTCAGCAGTGATTTACTTAAGTTTACTTAACTCTTACTGAAATATATCAAATCTCTCGTATGGTCTTTTAAATGCAACCTTGACTATCCATGGAAAAGAAAACATGCCAGTGTAGACATGTCTCTGTGTGGCTGCAGGTCACAGATCTGCAGGATACTCTACTGTAGCTCACTTGATTCCCTCCACATATTTTCAGCTGTCTTCAGATCTTATCACAGTCGAGCCCCTGAGCTTGTCCTCATAGTGATCACCTCATTCCACTTCATATCACTTCTTCTTCAGTCAGCGGTTAAATAGGTCATGCTGGCGGAGCCGATAAAACTTTTTTGGCTCACAAACAAACAATAGCAGCATATTATTTGATTTTTCTTTGGAAAGTCTTGTGTTTGTGTGTAGTTTTTTTGGAAGACAATACCAGATATTACTTTTAAGGCAAGGAATTTTGTCAGATTTCTTTATTTTGGTCTTCTAAATAAAAAGAAAAGTTAAATCCTGTGTAAATCTAGCTTCAACAGACGTGTCCTTTCACTGTGCTGTATTTAACCTTGATTGTACACCTTTTTTTGAGATGAGACAGAAAGGCACAAATATCTGCTTACATGATCATCATCCTCTAGTGATGGAACATTTCAACAGTTTCACCACATTCACCATTCATGTGTCCATCAGTAATAAAACTGTACACTGACGTTGCTGTGTCCGAGTAGATCATTGACAGACAGAATGAAACAGTTAAAAAAGAAAGGTTTTGATAAATCACTGAGGCAATATATTCCACTAAACAGTTAAAAACACCAGGTCCAAACAGGAAGCCAAAAAAAAATGTTCCAAAAAAGATGAAAAGAAATACAACAACTATCAATAGCTACTACACTATATAATTAAAGTTTGACTCTCTCCATTCCCTACATTACTTTAAATTTCATCAGCATACTGACTTGGTACACAGCTGACTTTTTAAAAAGTATTTCAAGAAAAAACTAAGCACATGACACAGAACTGCATTTGAAAAATTACATTAAGTGCAAACTTAAGTTTTTCCTCCATCGTTTAAAAAAAAATCTCTCTCTACATGAAAACGCAAAAACACGCTATCAAGTGCTGTCAAGAGCACTCCAAACCGCCAGGTGGCAATACGGGCCTAACCGTAAAGCCATATTGGCCCATCAGAGCCTAATAAAATCATAAACCAAGCATGCAGTGGCGTGCTTTCTTAAAATCTTCAACCTGGCAGGAGTTTTAAAAAATGTTCGGTTTCAGTAACCTCATACTTCGTTTCTGTGTGGACGAACGGCCAAACCGCACAGACAAAGTCAGGGTTTTGGAAATAGACAGGGGCTTAGCTGACAGTTACTGCTTATGAACTCTCAATCCTGATTGGACACGTTCACTGTAACCAGTTAGCGAGATAGTTTGCCTGCTCTTTCTGTGAATATACTGCTGCACTCAGTCAAGGTCTTTAAGGTTCTCTCAATGTTTAAGCTCATAAGGCTCGAGTCCAAGTGAAACCACCGCTCATGAATGTTTGTGTCAAGTCTCTTTTCATTTTGTCAAATTAAGTCTGAAGTTGTCAAATGCTTGACTTGAGTCTGACTGGACTTGAAGTCACGTGACTCTTGTCCGGGCTGAAGTCTGACTCAAGTCTACGACTGAGGAAACGAAAGTGAGGATCTCCCCCGGTGCTGCTGTAGAGTTTGTGACTGAGCACCTGTTTGTTGTGAATGTTCGCTGCAGCTTCAGCTGCAGCAGACTGTCTGGAAGACACTGATGTGTTTGGCTGGCTGGGTGTTTGGCTGGAGGATTAGTGATGTGCCAGCTGCAGCAGCTTTGAAGTGAACTGAATGGAGCCAGTCAGACGAAAGAAAAAACATCTCAACCTCAAACACACTGTCAGTAAGAGCCCTGCATATACTGAGGTCAATTCTACACTGCCCAGTGAAAAAAGCTACAGCAGGTAGATTTGTGAGATCGTTGCTCAGGTGTCAGTGTACTTATGGCAACCACAAAGAGAGCTCAAAACAGTGTCTGCTCACATCACAACAAAATGTGATATTAATGGACAAGGCTGGTGATATTTCATATTTTTATTATTGTCAAAATCACAGAAAAAAGAGCCAAACCAATAATAAATACGTACTGTGTGTGTATCGCAGCTATCTCTTCTTCCTCTGAGCCTCAGAGCTCCACTGTTGTCCTAAAACTATAAAAACCCATTAGTGAGCCTCACTGCTGCGCTGGCTGACATGTTCCTTCATCACCATGAACTCACACATTGTAGTTTATTCTGACTCAGTCCCACATACACCGTCCTGCTGCGCCAAAACACTCACTAAAGCACCACTTGTGGATTCATCCACCGTTGGAAATAGTCCGCAAAAAATGCACTAGTTGAGGAATGTTTGCAAAACAAATGAAACCATGTTCTAGGGAAGTGTTTATAAAGATTTACATCTTCAATAGGGACCAATGGGCTTGGAGCCACACACAGGGTGGGGAGGTCAGCAGATATTGCAAGTTGGACAACAAGAAATTGTTCAGGGATTTTATTTGCAGCAAGGTTTCTCTCTGCATTTCTCAGACATGAACTCAAATCAATCTAGAAACGGATGGTTCATTTTGTAAAATGATCAGCAGTGTTGCACAAAACTGGTAGTAATTTTAGTTTTTTAAACAAAAACTTGTCTCCTGAATGCAGCACGAACATGCTTTCCCCAAATATTAAATTATACCATGTTCTGCACTTTCTGTGGATTCTCATTAAGAGCTGGATGAGCCTGAACTGGGAAAGATTCCACCAGTTCCTGAAAGAGTTGAGTCACCGTGCAACCGTGTTTTGTTGACGCTGTATCCACGCCTGTCAATCTGACAAAGAGCTCGCAAGTCTGCACAGGAAGCAGGAAAAAGAAAAGAAAAATGACAAAAGGAAAAACATTTTCATCCCTTCAAATCTGGGTTAAATAACCGTTTGACCCAGATCTGTGTCTGTTTAGTAAGTTACACAATCAACCAATCAGCTCCAAGAGATGAATCATTATAGAAGGCTTACAGTAACATGGTGTGTGTGTAACTGACACCTTCCAGATTTCTTTTCTCAGCTCCTCAGAGACAAGTGACGTACAAACATGTGTCCCTCTTGATTGAGCACATTAAAGATGGAGGAGAGGACATCAGGAGAGAGGAGAGGAAGGAAGTTAAGGGGAGGAGAGAAAGTGAAGGAGCATGAGATGCGGAAGGAAAGGAGATCAGATGGACATACAGAAAGAGAAAGTGCCTCAAAAGGATAAAGATAAAAATTACAGATGCAAGGAGAGAGGAGGAGAAGGGAAGTGGATGAGATGAGTGGAGTTAGATAACTCACTATTCTTTCCCTCCCTCTTGGATCAACAGATCAAAGATGGGAGGAGAAACATCATGCATGAGGAGAATAGAAAGAGAGAAATCACATGTGGAAGGAAGGAAGAGGAGAAGAATGGAGAGGAGGTAAAGTGCGGCAAGATGAGGAAGAAAATGAGGAAAGAAAAGGGCAGAGGAGAAGAAATCTCATCTTAATCTTTCCTTTCCTGGAGAGATTACAGATGGAAGGGCAAAAGAGGATGTGGAGGGAGGAGAAGAAAGACGATGGCGAGCACGAGGGGGGAACAAAGAAAAGGGAGGATAAGATGGGTGGAGAACTAAGATGAGGAGACGAAGAAAGACGTTGACCTGGCTGTCAACTCCACTTAGATTCCGAACTAAACTGCACTGAGCAAATTGGTGTGTTTACAGCTGCAGCTTCACAAAGTGTGTGTGTGTGTTCCTTAATTTGCTTTCATTACTTTTCCTCTCTCTCTCTCTCTCTCTCTCTCTCTCTCTCTCTTTCTCTCTCACACACACACACACACACACACACACACACACACACACTCACATGGGAACACTGTTTGTTTTTGCAGCACAGGCACTCAGGACATCCTGGCCTTACTGCAAGACATTATGTCCCTGTCAAGACAATCTTAAAAGAGAAAGAGAGACAGAGAGCGAGAAAGAGGGAGGCTTCGAGGTGGAAAACAACCCCATTTTTAGAGTTTGGTGCAGTGCAAGGTAACACTGCAAATCTGACTGATCAGCAAATGGAAAGATGCCAGAGAGACAGAGGGAGAGTGTGAGCAAGGTTAATAAGAGCAGCTTCTAATGTCATGAATGTCAGATATGGTTACATCGATGCTGTAACTTGTCACAATATTAAAACATCCTCTTACATGGGTGATGTGTGGTCATCTGATTTAAATTCTGCTGTCATTGCATTAAAGCAAGACATGTTATCTTTACCGAACAGCGGTCACTGTGGGCTGACAACTACATGATAATGGTAAATGAGACATGGAAATATCCATCTAAAGTTAAAGCTAAAATTATCAGCTGGCCAAACCAGACTGAGTAAATCTGTAGCAACATAACCCCTGAGTGTATGAAAGGAAAAGCCTGTGTTCACTTTCTTAGTTAGCCGTTAGTTTTACTTGAACTCATTTAAAATGGAATATCTTAGAGTTTTGGAGTCCTGGTCAGACAAAACAAGACATTTGAAGATTTCTCCTTGGACTTTCTGTACTTAATGTTGCAATTAAGCCCATTTGAAAATTTTTGGAAGATTTGAGGAGGAGTGAGTGCATAGACCTTAACAGATGGAGGAGGAGGAGATTCATTCTGTGTGTGGACTGCTGCTGAGGTCATCCAAGTTCAGATCCAAAACACACACACAAACACACATTACTGAAATATTTCTGTCTTATCACACTTCAGGCTGTGTGAGAGCAGTTAGGCATACAGCTATTTCCAGAGTTTAGTTCTCTCTTTTCCTGTTCATTTCTTAAGATACAATCTGTCTCTCTCTCTCTCTCACTCACTCACACACACACTCACACACACACACACACTCACACACACACACACACACACACACACACAGCTCTCACCTTTCCCACAGGCGCCTCTCTGGATGAAAATCACCGGCGGCTGCTGCAGTTTCATCGCCCGGTTGCTGACGCGCTTCAGCTCGCAGATGTTCCGGTACGAGACGCCGTCGCTGCCGCACACGGGCTCGGTGCTGGTGCACGCGCACACACCGGCCTTGCCCCTCCGCCTGACTGTGGCGGACACCTCCACGCCGTCGGTCACAACACACTCCATCCCCTCGGCGCACTCGTGGTCTCCGGTGCCGCCGCACTGCTCGCCCTCGCCGGACGCGCACACCGGGCAGCAGTCGCAGCGGTCCAGCACGTCCCCGGCCAAGCAGTCAGCGGGGATCGGCGCGCACTGCGACTTGTCGCACTTCTCCGGGCAGCCGATGGCGAAGCGTCTTGTTATCCGCGCCTCAGCGACCAGATATGGGCAAATGAGCGGGGCCATTACGCAAAGGATAATCTGGAGACGCATGATGACAGTCCAAAAGAAACTCGAAAATAAACTATGAACTGGACTTTGAAATCGATATGAAATGCTAGGTTGAAGTTTAAAAGATTTCAAGAGTGCTCTTGGGTAGTGTGGAGGTCACGACACCGTTACCGGCAGCGTAAACGGATAAAGTGTGGCGCTACTGTCTCCGGCTGTCTCGGTTTATAAAAGCTGCAGGATAAACACAGCGGGCGATTGGTGGGCTTGTGTGACGTCTATAAGAAGGAAGGAGGGGATGATGGGGTGGTGGAGGTGTGTGTGCTGCATGTGATTAAAGTTGTGCATGGTGGAAAGTAGGCTAACTTTGTAAGCGACTACTTGCAAGTACTACCCGTTAACGTTCTACTTGTTAAAGTAGCCTATTTCATTTGCCACTTTCTTATTCTACTCCACCACATGTCAGAGGGAAATATTTTTATCAACTGTGTCCAAATCAGATTATCAGCAACTTCTATTGAAATAGTAAGCCAATAATAACAAATTCAAAACTCCCACTATGAAACAGGTCATTCTGCACGAGTACTTTTACTTTTGATACTAAGTAGCCTCCGTTTTGCTGTAATATTTATACAGTAAGTACTTGATTGATTGAGTAAAACATTGGCAGACCTGGTCTGATTCTGAGAGACCATCCATCCCACTTGGGAAAGAGCAACTCTCATTTCTAGAAATCTGGCCAAGTTTGTTAGTGGACAAAATGCATGACAATCCAGAGTTGAGACCAGTAGGCCAACACACTTCTCTGCTCCTCCATTTCAGGAGTTACCTGTCAAAACACTATAGTGACGGTGTCTGCCCCCCAAAGATAAACAGAAGATGCGCATAAAAACCTCATAAAAATTAAAACCACCAGCGCAATAGTGCAAAAGAATAGGATAATTTAATGTGGACTCTCATACATGAGATCCCTCTCCTCTAAAGGTGTACTAGTAAATTAATTTTAAATTAGTTTTGTCTTACTGAAAGTTGGCTGGGTGATGGAGAATATGTTAGCCTAAATGAATCCACCTCTCCCAGTCATATAAATACTCACATTCCTCGAGGCACAGGCCGAGGAGGTGGAGTTGCAGCTATCTTCCACTCTAGCCTACTAATCAGCTCTAAACCTAAACTAAATTATAACTCATTTGAAAGCCTTGTTCTTAGTCTTTCACACCCAAGTTGGAAATCACTGCAACCAATTCTTTTTGTTATAGTGTACCGAGCACCTGGTCCGTACTGAATTTGCAGAGTTTTTGTCAACTTTAGTCCTTAAAACGGACAAAGTTATTATTGTAGGGGATTTTAATATTCATGTGGACGATGAGAATGACAGCTTCAGTACTGCGTTTATCTCTATGTTAGATTCCATTGGCTTCTCTCAGAGTATTCATGAACCAACTCGCTGTTTTAATCACACCCTCTACCTTGTTTTTGTGTATGGTATTGAAATTTAACATTTAGTGGTGTTCCCACAGAATCCCTCTTTGTCCGACCACTGTTTGATAACTTTTGAGTTTGTATTGCTGAACTACACGCCAATGGGCAAAAATTTCTATACAAGATGTCTGTCTGATAGTGCTGTAGCTAAATTTAAGGATGCGATTCCATCAGCTCTAAATTCATTATCAAGTCACAAAGTAACGGAGGACTCCTATGCTAGTTTCAGTCCCTCCCAAATTGATCATCTTGTTGATAGTGCTGCAGGCTCGCTGCAAATGACACTGGACTCTGTAGCCCCTCTAAAAAAGAAAATACTAAAACAAAGACGGTTAGCTCCATGGTATAATACTGAAACTCGCAAATTAAAGCAAATATCTTGGAAACTTGAGAGGAATTGGCGTTCCACCAACCTGGAAAATTCTCCTTTAATTTGGCAAGATAGTATTAAAACTTATAGGAAGGCTCTCCGTAATGCCAGAGCAGCGTACTACTCGTCATTGATAGAGGAAAATAGGAACAACCCAAAGTTTCTTTTCAGCACTGTAGCCAGGCTGACAGAGAGTCACAGCTCTATTGAGCCAAGTATTCCCATAGCTCTCAGTAGTTACGACTTCATGAGCTTCTTTAATGATAAAATTCTAACTATTAGAAACAACATTCACCAAGACCTGCCCTCAACTGGCACCGACTTATCTCTAAACTCAGGAACCTTAGAAACAGCTGTAGAACCAGATATATGTTTAGACTGTTTTGCTTCCCTCAATCTTTACCAACTAACTTCAATAATTTCTTCATCTAAACCATCAACCTGCCTTCTAGACCCCATCCCGACAAGGCTGCTTAAAGAAGTTTTACCCCTAGTCAGCAACATTTAATTGGTATTAAAGAAATCGCTCTGAGCTGGTTTAAGTCTTATTTATCAGATCGATTTCAGTTTGTGCATGTTAATGAGTCCTCCATGCACGCCAAAGTTAGTCATGAAGGAAACACGCAACACTCGTTGTTATGCAGATGATACTCAGTTATATCTATTAGCTAAAAAAGTCCATTAAGACTCTTCAGCTGATCCAGAATGCTGCAGCACGTGTTCTGACAGGAACCAGGAAAAGAGATCATATTTCTCCTGTCTTAGCTTCTCTGCATTGGCTTCCAGTAAAATCCAGAATAGAATTTAAAATGATTCTTCTTACCTACAAAGCTCTTAATGGTCAGGCACCATCTTATCTTAAAGAGCTCATAGTACCTTACTACCCCACCAGAGCACTGCGCTCCCAGAATGCAGGGTTACTTGTGGTTCCTAGAGTCTCCAAAAGTAGACTAGGAGCCAGAGCGTTCAGCTATCAAGCTCCTCTCCTGTGGAATCAGGTTCCAGTTTGGGTTCAAGAGGCAGACACCATCTCCACATTTAAGAGTAGGCTTAAGACTTTCCTCTTTGATAAAGCTTATAGTTAGGGCTGGCTCAGGTGAGTCCTGAACCATCCCTTAGTTATGCTGCTATAGGCCTAGACTGCCAGGGGATTTCCCATGATGCACTGAGCTCCTCTCTCCTCTACTTTCTCTCCCTCTGTATTACTATTACTATTAAGGCTTTAAGAATATCTAAAACATCCTTTGTTTGTTCAGTCCAACACCATTGTATTGTAGGGTACAATGAACCTTGCATCAAACAGTGCAGTTTCAGATTGCAAGCACTACCTATCCAAGCATGTGATTGTGTGGATGCTCGAACTCATGAGATCTGTAAACTACCACTGCAATGTTACAGTAATATCTTTTATTAGCTTGATGTTGAACTAATCCATGCTTGTTGCATGAAAATGTTACACTGACTGCTTTAAGCCCACGTAATATGTTGGCTAGTGAGCTAGACTATTATAAATGAGATTGTTTCCACACTTCAGTATAACAGTTAGACTGCAGTAACTAACTTTAATTTAGTGAATGGGACTTCCTCTGTGTTGTTGGCCTGTGTCGTTATGCATTGTGTAAAACGTGGGTTAAGTAAGTTACAGCGACTGAGACGGTGGAGAAGCTGTGTACTTGAGTATCAGTAAAACAACAATAAATCGAAATAGAAACATTACAAAGCAAACAACGGCAGATCCATTGATGCAAATGTAGATGGCTGCCTCTGCCTTGCATCCCTACAAGCTCAGAATCAGAAATCAGAATCAGAAATACTTCGTTGTCACACCGAGGGGAAATTCTTGTGTTACAGTTGCACATTGCACATTAAGGCATAAGGAATAGAAATAACAATAGAAAGAAGGTAGATAAAGAAATAAATATAATGGTATAAATATTAAATATAAAGAAAATTAAAGCTGTGAATTTGCCACGAGCTTTGGATGCTGCACAAAGGTGTTAATCATCACTTCCTGTGTCCTCTTTGTGGCGCTACTGCGCACTTGGCGCTACAACAATTACAGAATAATGGCATGTATATGTGTTCAAGGTGGGACAGTTATCAAGCACATAAAGTCTGGTACAGATTTGAGCATATACAGTTAGATTACGACGACTTCCTGTTTCACGGCGAAGCATGGAACTTCACTTTGGTCGGACTCATTCTCTAGGAGGAGTTCGTTAAAGTACGCAGTATGTAAATCATACAAAAATGGTATTTTTCCTTTCTGGTAATATAATTCATGGCTTGAACAATCTTTTAATGTGAGCAATCTGTGAAAAGCATAGTAGCTGATACTTTACTTACTTACTGCTGTCTAACCCTGTAACTATTGATATGACCATCAGATGGTGCCAAAAAAATGCATTGAATCAGGTCAACTCCTTGTTACATTACTAGAACTGTTACTCTCCTACTTCTTTCATACTTCCTCCCAACTTTCTTTTCCCATCCCTTCTTCTTTTGTTGTTTTCTTCCTTAACTTATCCCTGCATCCTTCCCTCATTTCCTTATATCCTATCCTGCCTTATTTCTTCCCTAAATGATGAGTATTATGTTGACACTAAATATTACTTTTGTTATAAACATCAAAGTGTTTGTTGAAAACCATAACAATGTGTGCATGCAAGTGATTTCATTTCAACGTATACATATTATGCAATATGTATCACAAGTGTATTTCTATACAAAGGAATACTTTATATACTAGATAACTAGATGATAAAATGGAGGCCATCCAGAGTCCTGTTAGTTCGGCTTGTTAATCTAGTCAGTCTTGTCACGTTGGCTACTCTCAGTGCATGAAACAAGTGTGTGTGTTAATTTCCTTTCGGTGAAAAGGTGCCACAACTTTTAAAGAGGTTACTTCCCCAAACAAAAGACACAAAAGAGGATGGATGACTAAATCATGTGTGTGGAGATGATATTAAATAAGGTGATCTACATGGGAAACATATGTAAAAGCAATTAAGAATGCCTAAGAGCATCACTACATTATATTCTATTATATTGATATATTTGAATTGTCAGTGTTTCCCTTTATATTAAAAAAAACATTTCCATCATAAATTGGATATATATCATTATTGCAAAAAGAGAATGTTGTGCATTATAGCCTAAATTGTTATCACTAATTATTAGAGCAATCTACATTGTCATCTTTTAAAGTGTTATTTTATTGTATAAAGTTAGGATCGTCTTTTTACCTAGAACTTCTTATCCAGTAATGTCAAAAATATAGAAAAATCAACAACATAGTAATGAATGACAGCTGGAAAACAGTGTT